AACTTCAAATTTCAGAAACACTTTTTCGAAATCCTAGGTTTTTGGCCATTCGATCTTATTCGGAATTATAATTCTTAGTTAAGTCCTCCATCTACGCAGCTAGCAAATTTACATTAATTACGATTTTGCGCTTTCCACATCTGTCCCGCTTCATACAGTTCGAGCAAGTGGGGTGATCCAGCTTGCCAGTGCCCTTCCTATTTTTTCCAGTATATTGCTGGTTAGCGAAAATTTGCTTAGTTGTTTTATTTTTCACTTATCTGTCGTGCTTGCCAAATGATCAGCCCAGTTTTTCTTTATTCCATACGCTGGGACATCCAAAATTCTTCGTCGAATCCTTTGATCGCCTTCATCTTCCGCAGAATTCCTTTCAGTTCATATTGTGAAAGCCTTAGGTGAGCAGGTGAGTCATATCGCTCTCTGCTAATCGCACCTCTAGTTATTAAATAAATATTAGTAGAAAAAATGAAAATTGGAAAAGGAAACAAATCTGCTTGGTGGGAACATTGAACAAACAAAAAACACGCGTACGCCAGTTTACCATTCTTATCAGTTTAATGTTTGTACCATGCTGTACCAGCGGCTGGCCTGAGCTTAATTCTGATAAAAAAATTTATCGTATATCACAGTGAAAAAAATTATATTTTGAGCTGTCACAGCTATTGTCTGCGAATTTAAAGTCGAAATTTAAAAAATTTGCAGTCGCTATTTTCGTGTATTTGTTTTTGCGTAAGTGCAAAAAAAGCGCAGGAAAATTTGAAAGAAAAATATGTACAAATTTTTCCATATTTTTTTCTCAGCAGCTGCAAATGGTTTTTTGCAGAGAAGCAGCCGTTTGTTTGAAATTTTCATTTACAGGTTGCAGTACTTCCCCGTATCCATTGTGGCTCTTTGGTACTACATATTAGAGAGCCTAAATGGGTGGGGAGGAGACAGATCTGTAGAGCCTGGAGAGGATGGAGGTAGCAGGTACTTGAAACTTGAAACGATTGTTAGCTCACTACTAAATTCAGTGCTGTAACCACACCATTTTCGCATAGTGGACGGAGGATCATCGTTCTTGAACTGGAAAGAGCTGAAAGCAAACCAGGACATTTGAGCGAAAAGAGTGGAAAGCAGGACAGAGGAGAGAATGCGGTGTCTAGGATTTAATCTTTATGAAATCATTTTCTTAGTAATTCACGGATTATGTTATGGCGCCACGCTTCACCTATTGAAGGACATTACACCTCCTTCTCTTGCCCCGCATCTCCTCATCCCCTTCTTCCCTTTCTCCCTCCCTCCCTCCATAAGTACTGGGAGAAAGTAATGTTTGGAGTGGGGTAGCGCATGTGTACATTATTTGCAGGACATGCAATGACGCAGCTTCGCAGACATTTGTAATGGCGCCGTGTAAAATCCTCGCCACCGCTCCTCCTCCTCATCCCGAATGTTTTTTAGGGGGGTGAATATTGACAGAGGATGATGGCAAATTTCACGAACGGCATCATGTTGCTTCTGATTTGTTCATTACCACAGGCCCTAGGCCTGCTTCAGTGTGTCATATTTTCATAGTTGAAAACGCAGTTGCCCATAGTAATCTTATCAGTGGGTACTAACAGGTTAATACATCACTAAACAAGAGTTATAGCAGTTCTTAATTACTTACATGCAAAGTACTTCGGTAGAATCGAAATGGACTGGGCGAAAATGCAGACAAGTAGAAACTACGAAAAAGATAAGGTGGAACATGTTTTGGTCCGTTATATCGTGAACCTAGGCTGCACAGCTCCATTTAGTGCTTCCATTCGCCTGTTCGATGTATGTGCGCCATTTCATCGAAGTTGTCCAAGTGGTCACTTATTCTCTGTTGCGGACACTCTGCCAATTTGAATATATAGTTTTTATCATCTAAATACATATACGTTATAGCCGCAGGAGGCAATAAATCAGTCAATCATTTATTGCTAATCGTTGTTGCATAATAAGCCTGAGGCTTGAAGTGCTGCTTCTTAGCAGCATCCTCCCACAGACTGCACCCTCCTCCTCCTCCTCCTCTTCCTTGCCTCCCAAAATCTTCATCAGCGATGCTTTACACACATAACACACTTTTGCACATATTATAGCCTGAAGCATACAGACACATGCAAACAAACAAATCTAACATTATATTTCGAATTCTCACCATTGATTTCGTGATGATGCAATCATGCTTTTCAGCTGTCTGCGTGAAACTTCCTCGTTCTTCACACAGTAAATGCTTGCGCGAAATTAAGCATTCTTTAGGAATATGTGCGAATTGATGGACCGAAACATTCCTTTTCAACTACTTTCCTTCTCTCTGTACTGTATTATATTATAATATTTGTCTTGTAAATTACCTGAGCAATTTTTTAACCTTTTACATCCTCTATTGCTCCTGGTTCTCTGTTATCTCAAAAATCATTCTTTTAGGCTAACGATACGGTTTCCGGGCTTATTGGGTATGCGCTCTGATTATTATCATTGTGTTGCTGTTTTGCATTTGTTTGAAATTGCTGAATCTAATGAGTGCTGTTGTTCAAATTTCTTTTTCAGTTGGAGGATGTTTGTGCGTTTGCTTCTGCAGCTAATTTGAGTCTCGTCTCAGTCACTTATCCTCAGCCAGTGTTCAGTTTTGCTTGTTTTGTAGATTGCCAGATAGCCTACTATTAAATAACACAACCCTCAATGAAGTTATGTGTGTTTAAATTTGGTGAACAATTAAATTTTGAGGGAAAATTCCGACTTAAATGAGGGGAACCAGAAGGTAGGGAAGGGGACGGGTGAGGAGTGAAAATAGGCACTCGCGCCTCATTTGTTCCGATCACTTTTCCAAATTGCTTCAATTGCTTCAGGTTATCAATCTGTCAGGAAGTTGTGGGAATGTCATCAAAAACTCCTCAGTCATGTCACTTTCGTTGCGCATAGGAGCCGCTTGTCAAACTCCTTGTTGTCTTTCTCGGCACAGTATCCCTGCACTGCTCTTTCTCGAATTCTCACGAGGGCCTTTTTCTCTTTCGTTGCCTCAGGTCTCATGTCTCAAGCAAGTTCAAACTTTTTTATTTTTCGTTTTCATACAAATTGAGCATTTTGTTCGAATACCACTCTATCCGGACACATCTTCGATCCTTCGTTATCGTTGGCAAATTTCCCGTGAACGCTGTGAGCGAAATATCTGGTAAGATTGCTTGAAAATTATATATCTCAATCGATCAAGTAAACTTGCAGCTGTGTTTCATCCCTTAGCTGTAAACGAAGTTGCATCGCCTGGTGATAAGTTCGTTGTTGATGATCCTGTCGTTCGTTTCCCTTTCTCTGTTCTTCCGATAAATGCTGTATTGTTGTTCTTCAGTTCGCTTACTGCCAGTATTCTGTGCATTTCTACTCATAACGGCCAATTCTAAAAATCTTAACTGTTGAAAATGAAGGACAAGATTTTCTGTGCATATCTGTTACATGTATGTACGCGGGCATACGTTTGTGCTCTGTGCATACGTATGTGTGGGCTTATGTGTGTATGCTTGTCCGTGTGTGTGTTTTTATACGTGTTTGTACGTGTATGTCTGTGGATGTGTGTGTGTGTGTATATTTATGTGTGCTTGTTGTATGTTTTCATATGTACATGAATGCATGTATATGTATTTGTATTTGTGTCTGTCTGTATGTATGTCATTTTCAAGAAATTTGTCGAAGACCATACAAACTAATCCGACGCTTTTTTAATTTTCCTCCTTTCACAATTCTAAAATCGAAATTATTTGATGTGTCATGTCGTCGCCACGTTTCCAGACTTTAGAAAAAAAGGTGGCGGCGCAGGATCCCTGCCGACGACAGCTTGGCACCAGGCGACCGGAGTGTCGGCCCTTACAAATTGGTGCTGAGAATGGCCATTCGGTCGGTGCCGAAAGTCGTCCTGAAACATTCCCACAAATGTCAACGTCGTTGACATCATCGATAGCTGGAAACCAGCCCCGGCCCATAACTGCAATTGGCGCCGGATATCCAGGACATGCTAGCCATCCGCCCCGTTCTCCAGCATCATACTACAGATACATGCAACAATCACCTCTTTTGCAAAAAAAAAAATTTTGCAAAACGAAAAAATTGCGAGTTTTTTCAAAAACGAAGGCTACTGTCCCAGTAACTTCACTGAACATGGGATACTCAAGTGAGTAGCTCGCAAGCTCTTGATACTTTTCGAATACACTAAAGTCCCCTTCCAGTTTTACACTTATGATTTTAGAAAATTTATCGAAATCCCTCCTCTTCGGAATTTCTAATTAGTCCATGACGTCATTATCCGGCTAAGCAGCTATCAACTTTTCCAGTTGCTTTTACCAGTGCTACATTGTCTGATGGACAGCTTTCATCTTGTCGCCCAGTTGCTCTTTTTCTTCTCAACAACACATTACTAATAGCATAATTTAGATTGTTGAAGCGCTCTCGTAATGCTCCTTTGTGCCACTGATAATGCAACTGGCACTTTTCTTGCATTCTGCTTGATCTCAAGCGATAGAAAGGCAAAAATTGTTCAGTCTGGAACAGAAATCTGCGCTAATTGACTGTGTTTGTTCAGTTTTAATAGCTGCAAAAATTTCGTATCAGGCCGTATGTGTGTGCGTGTGTTTTTTTATGGCCCCATCCTGTTTACTCTAAACGGCCTTCCATATGCATTCCCACATCAACTTCTGCACTTTCCATTTTGCTAGTCTTACTACTGTTATTTTACTATTGTGCTTTTTTATGTGTTATTATCCTTCCTAGCCATTCCCAGGATTTTTGACGAACTCGCTTTACTAAAATGACCGTTTTTTATGAATTAGTCGGAAGAAAGAGTGTGCTTAACTGGGAGGAAATTCTTTTTTGTTGCTAACACAGAAACCCTCGCAGGTACCTCTTTACGTCCTAGAAGTGGCAGAGTTTGAAAGGAGGTAGTGATGCTCAACATACACGGCAATGAACACCGCAAAACAGCCAGGTGCTTATGCCGGAGGAACCGTTAAGCTGGTAATTCCCTCAGGGGATGGAGATGAAGTAGACTGACCACCGGGATCAAAAGGCGTGGCACAGCTACGTCCGACAGTCAAATTTTCGATTTTCTAGTTCCCGTTGCGCTTTCCCGTGCGCTAAATGTAAGTTCTAGTGCAGTAGGTCGTGTCGATACTCATTAGTTTAACCTGAGTTTTTGAGGTTCTTGTTTATTTTTTAATTTTCATCGGAAAAATTAATCGCATTTTACAGAGTTCATCCGTGATTCATCCTTTACATGATTCGCCTGCCCCTTCTCCGTCTTCCGTTTCTTCTGAAAACCCCTTACCTACCCCGCCGCTTCACTCCCATGCCTCTTCATTCCCCTCCCCTTTATCTCTTCGTCGATAGGGTACTCATAAATCTGTCATTGTTGGAGAATTTTTAAAGCGTTTTTCAGCATTGCTTTCAAAGAAAATTTTGTATAATTTTATGTAATAAAATAAAATTTTTTTTTGATAATAAATTTTGCATAGTAAAACTTTATTTGCTTATAGTATATATAAGTTATGTATGTCTGTGTGTATATGCGCATGTGTAAGCACATGCAAATGAAGGAACGTATTATGCGTTTATGCTCGTAGCGCTTTTTTTAACTCCTCATCGAACCCCATTATTCTCTGCTTACCCTCTTTCTTAGACACATCATCGCTGTTTTCAGTATGGGGCGTAGCTGAAACTTTTTCTTGAAAAACATACAACTTTTGTTTTGCAGTTGGAATACGCCCAAGAACTCGTTTTAAATCAAATTTGGTGTTTGATTATTATTTGATATTAAATGTTGATTTTTTTTGCTGCGTTCAGGTAAAATATAAGTAGACATTAGCTAGCAATGAAATATATTGATAACCTATAAAATAGATGATTAAGATTTAGCAAAGATAAAGACTTTCCGATTCATTAAGTTGCATACGACGAGCTTGGATGGGCTTCGAATTACCGGTGCGAATGCTAGATCTAGAGAATCGGTTTAGACAGCGGGAATGTTCGGGCCTGGATATCTTTATAAATACAGTTGTTTGGATAATCGGTGGGCTTTCAGTGACAAACGTGCCGATTCTTGTAGCGTTTTGTTTAAGTAAATACTGGCAACTAATTTTGGTATTATTTTTGCTATGTTTCTCGGCCTGATCTTTCTGAAAAACTATGTAAATTACGTCTCTCTGGAGTTACCGACACACAGAATGTTTGTAGTGGAAGATTGCTAGTATGCTTATTTCAGCGCAAAATTTTGCATTTTCTTAAAATGAATAAAATTTCACAGATTGATAAGCTTGCAAAAGTTGCCTTTAATTTGTCCAAAATTTGTATCAGCGGTGACAGTGGGAACAGAAAAAAGAAAAAAGTTTTGTGCATATTTAGGATGGTAAGTAAATAGGTCGAGGAGAAGGAAGGGGGCGAGTGGAAGGGAAGAGGAGGGGACAGAAGTTGTAGTCAGTCGGTGAGTCCTTTTACGAGGATTCGCCTATTTGCAGCATGTCAAAAAGCAATTATTGCTAGCGCCCGAAATACTCAAATTGAAATATGTTTTGCATAAATGCATGCATAATTGCGAAGGACTTGGATGGCCCGCTCCCAAGCCCATACACAAATAGTTTCAAAGCTTCCTTAAATTTTGACTCTCTTTTATTATATCATAGTTACGATCCTTCCCTGTCAGTGCCTATTCATTTTTTTTAATGGAAATAAATAAGGTGGCTTCGCTTTATTTCGAGCTAAGGCGAGCGTATTCGGCATTCTTGAAAAAAAATACCATGAATACTAGGACTCATCTTTGTGAATGCGCCAAGCACTGGCCTAGATGTAGTGGATTTCGTTTTTCTTTTTTGCATTTGAAGCAAGCCAGTTCCATCTTCAATTCACACGGTAGAAAAAGTACTGCATAAGAAATTTTTTTGTAGCTAGTTTGGTTGTACTGCTGACATCCTTAGAATTTAACATATAACAGCTGGATAAAAACTTATCGTAGCTGATTAAGTATGAAAGTACGGAGGAAACATTTTGACAATAAAATCTAAAGGGAACAAATCAGAATTATGGAATTAAGTTGTAAAGGACGTGGTGGGGGAAAGGGAAGGGAAGGCGGAAAAAAAAGGAAAGTATGGGACCAAGATTTACCGTTTATGCGCTTAAAATTACCGCTAGTCTACCACCACTTACTTGCTTGAAACGACTACTAGTCTATTTTCCGAAACAATCTGCTGGTGTTTTCATTTGCTGTATGATTCTGTTCGGCCGTATCCTTTAATTTTCCCATGATTTACAGTATGCTTTGTATTTTGGCACATTTTCAGCAATGTTAAGGCTGGGGCAGCTTTCTTTTGAAATTCAAGTTCTTCAGAAAAACAGTATGCTAGCTGATTTAGCTCAGTCAAAAGTTTCTCAGTTTCAGTATTTCAGCCTAGCTGCTAGTGAACAAAACAGTAGTAGCACGCCATTCAACGAAATTGCTCATTTCTTCCGGACTGAATGGATGGAGGAAGGATGAGTGGAAGGAATTTTTTTGTGCTTCAGAGAATTATTATGCGTTTAACTGGCCACTTCAAACTGCGCATTTGAGACGTACTTAAGTAGGAGAGAGAGAGCCCCCTCCCCCTCTTCCCGCTCCGTCATTTCATCCTCTTCTACTCCCTCTGCTGAATGGCCGGAATTGGTTGAAGTTTTGCTCTCAGTTGCTGCTGCTGCTACTGTTAATACTTATTGTTGTAAAAGCCTAAAATTAGCTTCATTTCTTCTTAAATTTCCCAAACAGCGCTTTTTTCTGCTCTGAAATTTAATGCTTTAGGCTATTCGTTTTGAGCATCAATGGCGAGCAACTAAACTATTTACCTTCTTGAATAACATAAAAAACTAATTGCGAGCAGTCGTCACGAGGTAAACGAGATGCTGCAGGAGCGCAACAAAGCAAATAAGGAAGTTGGCCTAAAAATTGACGCGTTAACATAAACAAGAATGTATGAGGAAAAAAAAATGAATCTTCTGCTCATTTTTGTCAATATGCAAAGAACATTATTTAGCATTCTGAGCTAAATCAAAAGCTTTCGATTCTCTTTTCTGCTTTTTGGTGCAGTTTAGTGCTGAGCCGGTGTGCTTGCGCAGGAGGAATTTCTGCAGTGCTTTGGCAAATTTTCACTTATTCTTGGTTAGATTTTCCTGGATTTTGCGCGCGTACGTTCATTTTTGTATGCGTGTGTATGTGAGTCTTTGTGTTTGTGTATGTGTTCCGTGTAATGTGGTTTGTATGTGAGTGTCTGTTTGCCTTGGAAAATGTGTGATAGCTGGAAAGGTGATGTGTGCTGGGCAAGTTTTGGCTCCAGGAAGTCGCTGCTTGTCGGCGGTGGCTCGAAGTTTGCTGATGGTGAGGTGTGCAGACGCATACACGCACATACCTTGCTTTAATTAATGGCAGCTTGAAGAAGAAGTCATCCGGTGGTCGCTGCTCTTCTTTGCCAGGTGGATTTCCCTCCGTCCCTCACCAGCGCCCGTTCCTCTGTCGCTATCCCGAGCCCTCATGTGCACACAAGAACCAGTCACAGACGTCTGCGCACTGGCGTCGCCACCTGTTGTTCCTCCAGTGTTTTTTTGCATGTGACTGCTTTATGTTGATTTCATCGAAATACCAGTTTCTTCAAAATCAGTCGTTTTTCGGCTTTTTCTTCAAAAAGCAAAATAATAGGTTCGGATTATCGGATAAGAATTATTAAGTAACGACGGTCAGGACCACCAGCAAGTTGACCACCAGGTGATCCAATACCGGACAAAGCAAATGGAAGAATTGTCAGCTGGAGGAAGATTCCATGAACTGTAGCTGAACAATGTAAAATTTAACTATTAGTTAAAAAATATCTTTGTTATATGATGCAAAAAATTTATCAGTTACCAAAGGAAGCCAAGCTTTTTGTATCATTCGAGCAATTCCCAGGCTGCAGTAGTTCCGTGCTAATTCAGGAAT